CGCTGGAAGAGCAGTTTCATAACTGAAGTGGCTACCCTGGTTAAATAAAACGTTATTATTATTATTATATGTCCTAGTTAGGAATCTATGGTCCGCCGCTATAAATCTCCTCCAGATTCAGGACCAGATACTTGGGGGAACGTGCCTTCAGCAACCTAGCACCTTCATTATGGAATGTGTTTCCTCTCCAGCTCTGAGATGCACCGCCATCTATGATTTTAAGCTCTAAAAGGTACATCTTCTCTTCTCTTTTGTGACCGATTTCAAGTTGACATTATGTCATTTATTAATGTACTATTTTATCACGTTATATTTTTTCCTTAAATCTCGAGTTTTAACCTATTTTTTGCGATTAAGCATTGTGTTTAGAATATGTATGCATTGTCATATTTTCTTTACTGGTCTAATTACGTTTGCGTTAGTATTCCATTGTCATATTAAATGATTATTTTTCCTTGTCTCGATCTATAATCATTTAATTAATTATAGAATATAATTATATAATTATCTCATAGAGATAGCAACATAGTATGCGCTATAATATTATAAGCCTCACATTTCATTGATTATATATTTTGCACTCTTCATGATGCGGGAAAACAAATCCCACGTTGATTTTAAAAAATAATCAAAATATAATTAAAAGTAAGCTGCTAGGTGCATATTTTTTATTTTCAGAGTAAAATCTATCAGAAGAAGTATATATTCTTTATTGTCAAACACCTTTGTACAAAGTTTGCGAAGGAAATAATTGTTAATGCCTGAAATATATAGGATTAATAAAAAAGTTTTCGGTAATTTTTATGCAAACCGGTTTACCTTGGTATTATTATTGGACTGGGCAAGTTTCACTTCTAAATTTTTCCTCCAAAATAGATTTTTGACATCTCTCATGAACTCGACAAGTCTCGTCCATTGCGACTCAATGTGCGTGCAGTGAATATTCACTAAATAATACACTTGCAAACATAAATTATTTATATGATACTCTAACTGGATTAAAAGACCCTTAAAGGAGGTGAACTTCAAAATGTTAGCCATACCATGATATGTCAATGTACTGTCTTTACTCAGGATACATCCCTCACGGCATCTATATCTTATCTCTCTAGTTCTCTCTCCCCCTCTCTCTTTCTCTCTGCATGTGTCTCATTCTGCCTTCTCTCTTTCTTTCTGTCTCTCTCCCTCTCTCTGTCTCTCTCCCTCTCTCTGTCTCTCTCCCTCTCTCTGTCTCTCTCCCTCTCTCTGTATGTCTGTCTCGTGTCCCTCTTGAACGAATCCCTTCCTCCCTCCTTCGAATTCACTCTCGTCATGGCTCATTGCATGAATAATTATGATATGTGTATGTCGTGCACGATGCATTGCACTTTTGGTCGCCATGGCGTTCATTCTTTCTCATCTCGTTTCTATTTATTACCAATGCTTTTCTACTTTTTAAAAATATTTTGTTGTTGATACATTTTAGCATTGCATATTGGCCTCGAATAGGGGAAATTGTGTTTGAATAATTGATTCCCATCACTGTGCCTACATTATTATTTGCTTGCGTTTTCTCAAACACTGCACACATCAGTCTATGATCACCTAATTTTTATCCTAATCATAGTAGAATTAAATTCGGTTTTCAACAATTATATTAAAAGAGGTGTTCAAGCCATGGCTCATTGATTGGATACTGATGATAATGTCGTGCACGATGTATTTCACTTCTGGTCGCCATGGAGTTCATTCTTCCTCATTTCGTTTCTATTTGTTACCGATGTGGAGAAATAATGGTATGATTTAGGCAGGGTGGTGGTTTAGTTAGAAAGAGAGAAAGAACATTCCCTTTTTAAAGGGGTATGGTATGTTTTCTTTTCTTTTCTTTCGAGGGGGGGGGGGGTGGGTGGGGTAGCTGTAAGCAAAACCAATGAATCATTTTATTTGTGAATGAAAGGGGCTTTAGTGAAATTCAAAATGTTATAGAACTACCATGATATTTCTAGGTATAACGTCTCTATTCAGGATACACCTATCAACATCCCTCGCGGCTCTGTGGTTCTCTTCCTCTTCCCCTTTCTCTTTCTCGCTCTGTCTCATTGTCTCTGTCTATCTGTCCCTCTTTCTCTCAGTATTCTCTATCTCTTTCTGTCTCCCCCTCTTGTCTCTGCGTCTCTCTAGCTCTTCCACCCACGAATCCCTTCCTCCCTCCTTCGAATTTCCCTCTCGTCATCTCCCTCCCATCTTCATGCTCTCCCACCTTCACCTTGGTCTTTTATTTTTTATCTTTATATCATTTATTATCTTGTCTTATTTCGTTCAACCTTTGTTATTACTCTTAGTCTCCTTCTTTTTTTCTTCTTCTTTTTCTTCTCGTGGGTATTCCTCTTATTGGAGGCCTTTTTCTTTTCCCCCTTTTTTTTCTCAGTTTAAAACATAATTATTTATAAATGAAACATCTGATTTTGTTGATATAAGTATTAGCTCGCCCTTGATTCGAACTTCATCGTTGTTATATTGTTTTTTTTTATTATTTATTTGAATAATTTAGTGACGTCGTCAACTATGGAGGCCATATTCGTTCTACTTTGTTTTCGCTTGTATTGTCGTTGGCCTCGAATGGCGAAAATTGTTTTTGAATAATAGATACACATCACTATGCGTAAATTATTATTTGCTTGCGCTTTCTCACCAATGCAATTATCATTTTATGATCACCTACTTATCCTAATCATAGTAGAAAAAAATTCGCTTTTCAACAATAATAGCGGTGTTCGTACCACGGCTCATCGAATAGATAATGATTCATTGCACTTCTGGTTTCCATGGTAATCATTCTGCTCATCTCATTTCTATTCGTTACCAATGCTAAGAAATAATGGTTTTATTTTGGGGGGTATTTCATATCTTTCTTTTTTTTCTTTCGGGGGAGGGGGAGGGGGCGGCCGCAAGTCATACAAAATGAATCATATTATTTGTGTACGATTCAGTGGAAATGATTATACAATATTTAGATTTTCACTGTTTGCCTAAATGAATTATGTAACAGAATGAATCCCCCGGACATAATGTCGATAATCAAAGAGCATGAACCAAACTTGCTCTATCACTACTTTGTATTTATTTAGTGTGTATTTTCTGTGTCTATATTTTGAATGTTTCTTCACAGAAAGACATTGAAAGTTTATTGACCATTTGATAAAGCTATTAATCCATGAACATACAGAACAAACTACTGTTTGGAAATTGTTCCTCTTTCCCAACCTTCTTCCAACCGCATTTAGCATTATTTGGTTCGAAAACATATAATGCACAATCATAACAATGGATTCTCTCTTTTTAGGTGTAACACATGCTGTAAAAACAGCTTAATTTTAATAATTTCACAGCAACCAACAGAAAAGCAGGAATAAGAGTAAAGAAAAACGTTTTGCATCGAAAGTCATATTTCTAAATGAAATGTAGTCTTGACCGATGCTGAGCATGTAGAGGCCTATATCATCCATACGAAAGCACTAAATGAATCCCACTCAAACATTTAAATAAACTGATGAAGGTATATTTATGTTCACACCGTAGACTGTATCAGAAAATTAGATCTTCGTCATCGTCAGTAACAACTATGAACAACACATTTGAATAAATTGAGTTATTAATATAATTATACTAAAATATTATGTACAAGTAGCGTATATGATTAACAAACAATTGATAGTGATTTTTTAAACAAGTGTCTCTAATCGGTTTACTTACTAGGTAAATAATTCGATAGCTTCTGCTGTTCATGCATTCTCAAAATTTTACGAGACTGCATTCAAATTCCGTACATATTGACATTGGGCTATTATAATGTTTCATGCTTTTGTGTGGCCAAGATATGAAACTCTTATTTATGAGTATGGACAGGATTGCAAGTATTTGAGCAAACATGATAATAGCCTATCACTTCAAGGAGTTTATATCATGCATACAGACTTGTTACTAACAATGTCTGAAAATTTCAGTTCGTATCTCGTGGTTTACATGGTTCCATTAATTTCATATTGGAAATCTAAACAGAATATAAAAGGAGCATATCAATTAAAATTAAAACCTCAACAAGACATAACATGAACAAGATAAGAACGTATCATTTTCATCGTTCCTCTAAAACAACCCCGATAACTTCAGCATTAGCCTATATTCTAGAAAATATATGCTGCAATACGTAGAAATGTGACTTTCAAGCATTCTTCCTTTAAGGTGAGTTCACCTCGGCATAAGTTTATCTACAGCGGGGCAGCTAATGCCGGTATATACACAGTGCTGGAGAGCGAGAGATTGTAAAAGTCCGAAATTAAATATTCTACCAGCAATATTTACAACGCAATTTTTCTTAAATTTGTAGGCACACTTTGTGTAGTTGATCGAACCCCCAACTTTTATGACATCGAAAAACCTCGGCGTTTAAAAAAAATGACATATCTTATTGATTGATTGATTTTATTCGCCAAGCCTTAACATACAACAATATGTAAGAATAACAAATAAAAATTAAGTCAGCTTGAACAAACCCACGAAAGCTTATTTCCAGTGGGGTTCCTGACATATACACAATTAATAAGTTAAAATCTTATTATTTACAGACAGATAAGAAAAAAACTTATCAAAGATAATAATAACACAGAGCTCAGTGAATAAGCGCTGGTTGCCATTTATTCCACACCCCCCCCCCAAAAAAAAGAAGATTGTCTTCACCTGTCACATGATATATATATATTCGTTATCTTCAAGACTTTTCTCAATATATTCATGACCTGGTCCAAAGATTGAATATTTGAATTAAACTTATCGACTACAAAATGTTTACCTAGAGTTTATGCGTATCCGTCCAAGAAGAATTTTTCAATAAAGATATCGGAATCTCAAAAGATTTTTATTTTTTATTTTTTTATACTTACCATTGGAACAATACTAGTTCACCTTTACAGTGGACGAATATACATTGATCTACGAAAGAGGGTTCTTAAATATCATATCACTCAGATCGAGCAGTCAACTCCAGCATCTTCAGCGTGTCCGCAGTCGTGGTTGTCCCATCCGCCATTACTGCAATCAGTCAACCTGGATTCATTTCCCGAACAGCCGACATCATCGAGGTATATCGGGCCAGATCCCTGTCCGTATGTTGCACGACTCCTGGCTACACCAACATTGCCTGAGTATCCAAGCTGTCGACAAACTACCCTCGCATCAGAGTCATCCCAACTGTCATCACAGACTGTCCCCCATTGACCTTCATGGAAGCTGATCTCAACCCTGCCTTCATCTGAACTGTAACCGTCAACCAGCCGGATTTTTCCCTCAATTTCATCTTTCAAAACAATAAAACGAAGGAATAAGACCTCTATACAGTGCGTCCCAGAAAAAAACGAAAACGAGAATTATCGATGTTTTATTATAACTTAATCACAATTAATTTATAATTAATAAATGACACATATCTGTAAAACTTAGATCCTCCTCTTTCATTTGATGCAACTCATATGTTGCATATTTCACGCATGAGTGATTAAAATGAATTTGAAGAGAGGAAAACAAAGAGTCATTTGGCGGACGGAATCTACATTTCAAAGAGAAAATCACATTTCCAGAAAGTTGAGTATCTGCCTTTCCATATGACACCTTAGTCAGGAAAAATTAGCTAGGAATAACAAAGTTCTATTTGTTTAAAGTATTGATTGCATTTCCATAATTTTATTAAACGAATTCGTTTTCACTGGCTGCCTGCCGTACGTAGCAACAAACGGAATTAACAAAAGACTTAACTCCGTTTCGTTGACAATCAGCCGTAGTCGAAAGACATTATGCATGGCTGATTGTCAACGAAACGGACTTAAGTCTTTTGTCAACTCTGCTAGTTGCTACGGCAAGCAGCCAGTGAAAACGAATTCGTTTGATAAAATTATGGAAATGCAAGCACTACTTTAAACAAACAGAACTTTATCATTCCTTGCTCATTTTTCCTGATTGAGGTGTCATAGAAAAGAGCAGAAACTCAACTTTTCAGAAATGTGATTTTTCTCTTTGAAATTCAAATACCGTCCGCCCAATGACTTTTTGGTTTCCTCTCTTCAAATTCATTTGTTATCACTCATGCGTGAAATATGCATCAAAGGAGTTGCATCAAACGAAAGAGAAGGATCTAAGCTTTCCAAATTATGTGTCATTTATTAATTATAATTGTGACTAAGTTATGATAAAACGTCGATAATTCTCGGTTTCGTTTTTTCTGGGACGCACTGTATAGTATGAGACTCTCCCAAAACAGTAACCCTATTTTACCCGTATGATTTCACCCCTCATTGCCAAAAAAAGGTCAAAAGTTCGACCGTATAGTCGTCGGGTTAGCCCCGAGAGTCCCCAAAACTAACTCGAAAGCCGGGTCGACTTCATGCCATGTACCTCAATCTAAAATCTTTGCCAGTAGAAAGTAATGAGACTGAACATTACTTTAACACACACAAATAATATATAAAAACAGACAAAATTTTCTTCGGTATGGGATGTCTGATGCCTCCTAAAAACTTGTATCAATTTTTCTTTTTAGGTTCAAGGACCACATTTTGTCATGAGAAAAAGTTGCGACTTTATTACAAAAGCATAAGAAGTGAAAAATAAATAATTTTTTCCCCCCCCCCCCCCCACTCCCCCCCCCCCCCCAAAAAAAAAAAATTGCTCTGGTTCTAGTTTAGACAAAGTGTGCAATTAAAGATTAAGTTGAGTTCTGGTCATGCGATTGCATTGTGAAAGAAACGGTGTGGAATCGATCAGAAAAGGTTAATCATCTAACATATGTAAATATGGTGTGTACTGCAAGGTTCTTGAGTCATTAAAATGATAAAAAATTTGGCCCAGTCTCGGTAAAGTTACAAACACTGTACACAGAAATACGTATATGGAACTGCACGAACATGTGGCGTAAAAATCCGTCCCGATTTTTATGCTGTTACATGCCATATTTAGAATATTAAGACATTTGAAGAGCCATGCTTTTCAGGGAACATTAATTGTTATCGGATGTTCTTCTACACTTGCATAATGACAATGATAACGCTCACAAATTATTTTTCACCTATTCCCAGAACTCAACTTCTCTTTAAGTCGAAGAAGAAGTTTCAATGAAGATATTTGGAGCTCTCTGCATCAGTGTTGAAGATATTTACACAAAATATTGGAAAGATAAGTTCGCCTATACATTGGGAAAATGTACATGTATCTACGAACGGGGGTTCTTTGTTTCTACAAGAAAAGGCACTGTAAATATCCTAAGTTTCAGTGGTCGCAACCTACCTCCACAGTAAACTCCAGCATCTTCATCGTGTCTGCAGTAGTGGTTGCCCCATCCGCCATTACTGCAATCAGTCAACCTGGATTCATTTCCCGAACAGCCGACATCATCGAGGTATATCGGGCCAGATCCCTGTCCGTATGTTGCACGACTCCTGGCTACACCAACATTGCCTGAGTATCCAAGCTGTCGACAAACTACCCTCGCATCAGAGTCATCCCAACCGTAATCACAGACTGTCCCCCATTGACCTTCATGGAAGCTGATCTCAACCCTGCCTTCATCTGAACTGTAACCGTCAACCAGCCGGATTTTTCCCTCAATTTCATCTTTCAAAACAATAAAACGAAGGAATAAGACCTCTATACAGTGCGTCCCAGAAAAAAACGAAAACGAGAATTATCGATGTTTTATTATAACTTAATCACAATTAATTTATAATTAATAAATGACACATATCTGTAAAACTTAGATCCTCCTCTTTCATTTGATGCAACTCATATGTTGCATATTTCACGCATGAGTGATTAAAATGAATTTGAAGAGAGGAAAACAAAGAGTCATTTGGCGGACGGAATCTACATTTCAAAGAGAAAATCACATTTCCAGAAAGTTGAGTATCTGCCCTTCCATATGACACCTCAGTCAGGAAAAATTAGCTAGGAATAACAAAGTTCTATTTGTTTAAAGTATTGATTGCATTTCCATAATTTTATTAAACGAATTCGTTTTCACTGGCTGCCTGCCGTACGTAGCAACAAACGGAATTAACAAAAGACTTATTAAACTCCGTTTCGTTGACAATCAGCCGTAGTCGAAAGACATTATGCATGGCTGATTGTCAACGAAACGGACTTAAGTCTTTTGTCAACTCTGCTAGTTGCTACGGCAAGCAGCCAGTGAAAACGAATTCGTTTGATAAAATTATGGAAATGCAAGCACTACTTTAAACAAACAGAACTTTGTCATTCCTTGCTCATTTTTCCTGATTGAGGTGTCATAGAAAAGAGCAGAAACTCAACTTTTCAGAAATGTGATTTTTCTCTTTGAAATTCAAATACCGTCCGCCCAATGACTTTTTGGTTTCCTCTCTTCAAATTCATTTGTTATCACTCATGCGTGAAATATGCATCAAAGGAGTTGCATCAAACGAAAGAGAAGGATCTAAGCTTTCCAAATTATGTGTCATTTATTAATTATAATTGTGACTAAGTTATGATAAAACGTCGATAATTCTCGGTTTCGTTTTTTCTGAGACGCACTGTATAGTATGAGACTCTCCCAAAACAGTAACCCTATTTTACCCGTATGATTTCACCCCTCATTGCCAAAAAAAGGTCAAAAGTTCGACCGTATAGTCGTCGGGTTAGCCCCGAGAGTCCCCAAAACTAACTCGAAAGCCGGGTCGACTTCATGCCATGTACCTCAATCTAAAATCTTTGCCAGTAGAAAGTAATGAGACTGAACATTACTTTAACACACACAAATAATATAAAAACAGACAAAATTTTCTTCGGTATGGGATGTCTGATGCCTCCTAAAAACTTGTATCAATTTTTCTTTTTAGGTTCAAGGACCACATTTTGTCATGAGAAAAAGTTGCGACTTTATTACAAAAGCATAAGAAGTGAAAAATAAATAATGGTTTTCTGCCCCCCCCCCCCACTCCCCCCCCCCCCCCCACTCCCCCCCCCAAAAAAAAATGCTCTGGTTCTAGTTTAGACAAAGTGTGCGATTAAAGATTAAGTTGAGTTCTGGTCATGCGATTGCATTGTGAAAGAAACGGTGGGGAATCGATCAGAAAAGGTTAATCATCTAGCATATGTAAATATGGTGTGTACTGCAAGGTTCTTGAATCATTAAAATGATAAAAAATTTGGCCCAGTCTCGGTAAAGTTACAAACACTGTACACAGAAATACGTATATGGGACTGCACGAACATGTGGCGTAAAAATCCGTCCCGATTTGTATGCTGTTACATGCCATATTTAGAATATTAAGACATTTGAAGAGCCATGCTTTTCAGGGAACATTAATTGTTATCTGATGTTCTTCTACACTTGCATAGTGACAATGATAACGCTCGCAAATTATTTTTCACCTATCCCCAGAACTCAACTTCTCTTTAAGTCGAAGAAAAAGTTTCCATGAAGATATTTGGAGCTCTCTGCATCAGTGTTGAAGATATTTCCACAAAATATTGGAATGATAAGTTCGCCTATACATTGGAAAAATGTACATGTATCTACGAACAGGGGTTCTTTGTATCTACAAGAAAAGGCACTGTAAATATCCTAAGTGTGAGTGGTTGCAACCTACCTCCACAGTAAACTCCAGCATCTTCATAATGTCCGCAGTTGTGGTTGCCCCATCCGCCATTACTGCAATCAGTCAACCTGGATTCATTTCCCGAACAGCCGACATCATCGAGGTATATCGGGCCAGATCCTTGTCCGTATGTAGCACCACTCGTGGCTACACCAACTTCGCCTGAGTATCCAAGCTGTCGACAAACTACACTCGCATCAGAGTCATCCCAATCGTCATCACAGACTGTCCCCCATTGACCTTCATGGAAGATCTCAACCCTGCCTTCATCTGAGCTGTAACCGTCATCCAGCCGGATTCCTCCCTCAATTTCATCGTTCAAAATAAATAGAACGAAGGAATAAGACCTCTAGTATGAGACTGTCTCAAAATAGTCACCCATTTTACCCGTAAGGATGTTGCGTTACGATGGTCGCTGAAGAGTGACGTGTTTTTCGGGAGCTCCCTTTTTCGCACGCCTAGATACGTGGCAGAAAGAAAAATCATCCCATTCAATCTTCGAAGCGGGACCTCAACTGGGACTATCGGGACAGATCCCTGTCAGCTCGCATCTTCCGACACTCCAACCAACCCCGCCCCTTCAGACTTTGAAGTACAATATTTGTTCGGAAAGGAATTTCTGACATTCGTTCAATGCTTTCTAATTTTGAGGAAGCTCTAGCCTTCCAAGATGCTCGTACTACAGAGTTATAGAAGATTACCCCACTTGAGAAGAAGGGGAATGACTTAGAAGCCTGCATTTTTGACCCATGAAACCCGTCTGCAGATGGCAGAGTTAGCTGAAAATAAACTGAAACGTTTTTCTCGGAGAAACAACTTTAGATTGTCGGAGTACCTTATTACCCTAATGAGAATGCTATGGATGTCCCAAAAGATTATCTCAAGAGATATTTCGGTACGGAAAACCCACAAATTGAACGTGCCCATCGAGACGGCCCCCAAGACAATTGATTATGTCGTTTTCCAGCAGAGAAAAAAGCTAGAAAGTTAGAAAATATACGTCAAAGACGATTTTGACAAAGAAGGATAGAGAAGAGAAGAAGAAATGGCTGAAGGAAGTCATCAATGCTTCGTTTCTTTCCGGAACGCGTTATCATTTCTTTGCCGGAATATGGCATTTATAATTTTGTTTTTGGTGATAATTATTTATTTTTCGTGTTTTTTGATAATTGTAATCTGTTTAAAAAAAAAATCAAAAAATCTCTAATTTCATTATTATTATTTTTTTAAGAAATTTATGATAAGTTAAAATTCATGCGTCCGGTAATAACCGGACGCATGATTTTGCCATGCATCCGGTAAATCTGTAAAATAACCATTTTTTTTTGTATTTTTGACAATTTTTGGGGCCCCATTTTACAAAACATTCAAAGGTACCTTGTGCACACAATCCCTACCGACGCACTCAAACCTGTGCATCATTTGTAATACTGGACAAAATCATCACATAATATTCCATTCCTAGCTGTTGACGCCTGAGTGGCTGCCGAGAACATTATGATGATGCTACACGTTGTAGCAAAGTGAAATTAAATAGAGAAAGAGAGAGAGAGAGGCATGGAGAGACGGCAAGATAAAATTGGAGAGAGAGAAGGGAAGTAAGAAAACATGCAAAATAGAAATCGAGAGAGAAAGAAAAGGCGAAGAGAGAGAGAGAGGGGGGGGGGGGGAGAGAGCGAGAGAGCGAGAGAGAGAGAGAGAGAAAGAGAGATATGGTGTAAATCAAGTTTTCTTACGAGTAGTTGTGGTAGGATGTGAGGTGGTGGGTTCCGTCGTGGACATAGTTGTGGCGTCTTGTGTTGTAGTTGATTCTGAAGAAGAAATAACATATAATTATACACCCGATGATACTATCTGAGGGAAAATACATTTATTTTCATTTTTGCCAAACTTTAACAAATCTTACTGGAAAAATCATCACATAATAATCAATTCCTAGCTTTTGACGCCTGAGTGGCTGCCGAGAACGATATGATGTTACACGTTGTAGCAGAGTGAAAATAAAATAGAGAAAGGGAGAGCCATGGAGAGACAGCAAGATACAATTGGAGAGAGAGAGAAGGGAAGTAAGAAAACATGCAAAATAGAAATCGAGAGAGAAAGAAAGAAAAGGCGAAGAGAGATAGATAGATAGAGAGAGAGAGAGAGAGAGAAAGAAAGATAGAGAGAGAGAAGGGGGAGGGGGAGTGAGAGAGAGAGAGAAAGAAAGAGAGAGAGAGAGGAAAAAGAGAGAAGAGAGAAAGAAAGAGAGACAGAGGGAGAGAGAAAGAGAGAGAGAGAGAGAGAGCGAGATGGTGTAAATGAAGTTTTCTTACGAGTAGTTGTGGTAGGATGTAAGGTGGCGGAGTCCGTCGTGGACATCGTTGTGGCGTCTTGTGTTGTAGTTGATTCTGAAGAATAAATAAGATATAAAACACCTGATGATACAATCTGAGGGCAAAATACATTTATTTTCTTATTAATCAAACTTTAACAATTATTACTGGACAAATCACCACATACTATTGAAGTCCTAGCTTTTGACGTCTGAGCGGCTGCAAAGAGGAAGATGTTGCTTCACGTTGTAGCAAAGTAAAAGTGAAATAGAGAGAGAGAGAGAGAGAGAGAGAGAGAGTGTGTGTGTGTGAGAGAGAATTATATAGAGAGAGAAGGGACGTGAGAAACAATATACAATATAAATCGAGAGAGAAAGAAAAGGTGAAGAGAGAGAGAGAGCGCGCGCGCAAGAGAGAGAGAGAGAGAGATTAAGTTTTCTTACGGGTAGTTGTGGTAGGATGTGAGGTGGCGGATTCCGTGGTGGACATCGTTGTGGTGTCTTGAGTTGTAGTTGATTCTGCAGAAAAATAAGATATACACACCTGA